AAACAAGGAAGCGTGTTTAACCAAATCAATGCGAGCATCTCAGTGTCCTTATAATAGTCAACTCAGCGTATAACGCAGCAATATGATTGTGCAAAAAGCCTAAATCTAAATCGCCGTCAAATGGCGGCCGCAAGCTTCCTGTAGTTCATTTACTAGCACGTGTTGCTAAGCATCCTATGTCGCCGTATCATTTGATTATCTTCAAATAATTCGTTACTGTCAGTATATTTGCCTTGTAAATAAGCACCTACGGTGTGTTTCTTATTGATTGATTGAGAATAAAAATGAATAGTTCTTGAATCAGTAGTTGTTTGTTTTATTTTATCCTTAACCTGACTCCCTTTACGAATGTAATAGTGATAGCCAAGAATGTATAGGATTAGGATACAAAGTGACTTTCGAAAGTTATTACCGGTTTCATACATTTTTTACTTCGATAAGCGAAAACGATAATCGAAGGTTACTTTGAGGGGGCTAAATTGTCAAATCTATATAGTTGAGCGTGTGATATCAAAAGAAAAATCCATATTTCAAGAAGACGATGTATTTGCTAATAATGAAAATCGCATTTTAAATTTTTTTGTCTGTGTCCGCAAGACGCCTTTGTTCCGGGTTGTCTCCGAAACGGCTGGGCCGATTTCGACCGAACTCACTAAAGGCATGCGGCAGATTATAGACTACTTTTTTATCATACGAAGACAGAGAAAAAATCCCCAAGTATTAACTAGTAACATAACTTACCTAAATTGTTACTAACTTATTATAAAGGATTATTAATAAAAAAAAAACTTACTATATTTGTAAATGACTTTATTCACAAAATGACCTCCATTATTGAAAATTCGTGAGATACAGCTTTCGAGCTTAGGAATAGCAATAACGAACGGTCATATGCTGTAATGTTCATTATTTTTAATGCTCACAAATAAAAAGTGAGACGTTCAGAAGCCTTTATTACACGTATTACAATTAACTCGTACAAATTCTATTGTATCATTTCTTCTTCCATGACCTTGGCCATCCACTCAGGCTCTGCAGCAGCGATCTTCTCTATCAGACTGTTCACTTGATAACACAGACTTTGGATTTGTTTGTCCCATTGCGGCAGAATTTCACGTGCTGGAAATAAAATAAAGAAGCATTGTTTTTCTTTCAGGCTACATAAATAGTAGGTGTTGCCTACACCTACACCTAAACGTAAACGTAAATGTAACTATTTATTTAAATATTGAATGTTATGAAATACAGCTATTCGTTATCCATCCATTGTTAGACAAATATTATTAATGTTACGGTTATCTGTTGTGACTTCGTTCTAGAATGTTTACAATTTTATTATAATTTTATTGAATAATTTCATAAATTCATAGAATGCTCTAGCGCTTAAACGAAGCAACTTTGCACAAAGTAAATTAGGTAAAATGCTAAAAATATTCCAAAATTCATAGACAATAAACGATAATGTCATGTAGTAAAATGTAAATATTTTTTCAATTTCCATTAAGTAACATGAAGTAAAGAACTTCTAGATCTAATCGTAGTGCACCTTCAACGCAAGCAATAATAGACAATGACTAACAAAATATCTTATGTATCTTACTCTCAAAGTGCACAACGGAGCTGATTTGATCAATATATCCGTTCATCCTGCCCTCGCTGATCATGTGGCTGGCGATGCGCTCCGCCTTGCCGGGCGGAGTCTCCAGCAGCGCGCCCAGCTCCTCGAACGTTATATTGTTGTACAGCTTGCTGGCAGACAGCAGGTTGTGTTCAAACACAGCTCGGTCTAAGATTGTTGACCCATCTGATGTTGTCGCCTGAAAAATATACATAAACCTGTCTCTTTAATAATTCTTGCTGTTCTCTATTGTGGACTATTAATCAAGTGACGAATTATACATGATAATGAACAGCTATGGAAGGTTCAGTATGTCTATGTCATATCTGAATCTAGTGGCAGGTAATTACCACCACCACACCAAAATTATATTAGGAATAAAATGCCTTACTTTTCACTATTAACTAGTTCAAGTATTGTGTTATCTGTGCTTCCGATCACTTGCCCACCACTTTTAGGAAATCCATCCCTATGTTCTTTGGTCATTCAGTCATCAACTTACTTTCTTGTCAGTTATGTAAGATGGTCATACATACCTTCTGATGACTTTGCATCAATGCTTCAAACTCATGCAACTCTGAGCGGCGAATAATGCGGTCGAGATACATTTTCTCCAATATAGAGTATGCAGGCAATTGTTGGCAGCGCTCGTCTTTGAACAGTGTTGCCAACATCCTTGATCTTTGTTGGCCTGAAAAAAATGATTTATAAATTGATCATATTTAAATTCCAGCATTTTGTAAAGGATAGAGAGTTAACTGAAATATTATTTATTTTACCTGCAGATGCGAGGACAGTGCATATGAGAGCATTCCTCAAGCAAGTCATTCTCTCATCCTCATGTATGATATTCCGATATGACAATTCATTGTACCTTTGTGCAGCTTCTATAAATTTTCTGAAAAAACATATTAAATATCTTCATAATCATATCTAAACAAGGAATTTAAACAAAGCATGGACATTGTTCAGAGAGGTTGCTACTAAAAATATAAAACTACATAAAACACAACCATCAACTGTTGATACACATTAAAAAAAGATTTTATAACAAAGAGTATTATTATGTTTTCTTAAAGGAAAATTATTTAAGCAGGAACAGGATAATAATAACTAACACACATTATATAGACCATTCAGTTAGGGGAGGTATGATATCTTTTAACTTTTTATTAACAACCACTTATTTGTTCTATTTACATACCTTCTATAATCCAATACTCTAGCATAGCACACTTTATAATAAATCTGTAGTTGTTCATTAGTTGTCTCAGCTTGCAGCAGCGAGGCTCGGTTCACAAATGCCTCAGCTTGTACAGGGTCATCCACTTCCAAATACAATCTGGCTATCTTTAGGTATGTCTCTAGTTTGTAATCAACTGAGTATTGCCTGGAAAGATTTAACAAGATTAGGTATTTCCTAATTTTTAATTTTTTTGCACAAGTATGGAAATATTATATTCACTTAGATTATATAAACTAGGTGTCGCTCGCGATTCCATAAGCTTGAAATAAAAAAATCTTCATTAGTAAACTATGTTGTCTTTAAATTGTATTTAACATCTATGCCAAATTTCAGCTAGATCCATTAAGCAATTTTGGAGATTTAGTCAAACATCCATCCATCTAAACATTCGCATTAATTATATTAGTAAGATCGATCAGTGTATATTATGTAGGTGTTATAACTGATAAATAGTTTTTTTTAAACTAAATCATACAAATGTCATTGTATAATTAATATGTAGATTTATAAAACTACTAGCTGTTCCTGTGCGGCGTCATCCACATGAAATTGTAACAAAAATATTTTATTGTTTACATTTGCAAATGTCAAAATTCAGATGCACAAATAACAACAAAAGCCTTTGACATTGGATAACAATTCCTTGATATTGGCAGCTTGTAGTTTATGGTCCTTTAGCACATGAAGGTTTTTTCCAATTTATTTATCCCTTAAGTTTAATAGCATGAAAATATATAGCTTAAAGTGTGTTGTAAGTGTAGGGCTTTATTAAAGAAATTATTGTTCAAAAATATGCTGTGATTGGTGACATCGTATGTGACAAAGTAGTTTGTGTTAAACATAAAGAAGACAAATGTTAAATAAGAAATAAAGGTAAAAATACATACTTTTGTCCAGTTTCAAGAGGAATTCCAACAAGAACATTTGCTGCTTCCTTCCAGTTCTGATGTCTTTCATAAATATCTGCTAAATGTTGTCTTATACTTGCCACCTGGAACAGCCTTTAGTTAATTATACATTACAACTAAATAAAGTAATATTGCTTCAGGACATATTAAATGGTATTTATGACAGCTCACATCATTAATTTGTAAGGTACTAATACATTTATTGGTATACATGAAAATATGTAAAGCCTCCTAGATAAATGAGTTTTAACTAAGTAGCCAACATTTTCAGTTAAAACTGTGGGTATCTTTAACTTAAAAATTAAATTAAAGGATGCTCTATGTCTATATCAGGCTTTTGGTTTCTAATTTCTAACTGAAAAATATGAATTCACCTGTTCCTCAAATGAAATGACCCTGGGCTGTATGACATCCAGAGCAAAGTGTGATACCTCTTGAGACACTTCATCAGGCAACAGTGCCAAGTGAGAACTCACATCTGTCAGCAACTGGCGGGATATCACCAGGCTCACATTCTCATTTACAACTGTTAACAAATGTTATAATATACATTTTATTATTCTGTTAATAAAATCTACAATAAGTACGAAAAATAAAATATCACTTACTTGCTTCCACAAAAGCTTTTAATGAGTCAGCTAGTTCGGTAGGGTTTACCAAAATCTCCAACAATACACTACGATACCTAGAAAAATTAAACCAGAGTTAAATATTAGAGACTAATGGTATTAATGTGTACTACACCATGTTTATGTTTAAAGACTTACTTTTCAGCCTGGTCTTTGTGTAAGCCGCCTGAATTTCGAAGTTCAGTTAAATACTGACGTACTCCTTGTAGAGTCAACGGCATTTTGTAGAGTTAAGGAATCTTTAGGCTATTTGTGTTTTTGTAGAAAATTGAAACAGATATAAGTTATTTTCTAGTTCTACAAAAATCATGAAAACTAAAAAATGATGATGACATTGACAATTGACGTTTGGCGTTGACAGCCATCTTTTTTCCTCACAGTTTCGTTGACTGGTTTCGTGGTTTCGGAAATAAATAAAGAATATAAAGTCGGTTTATAACACCATGAGTTTCTAGTATCAAATACTTCTTTAAAAACATAGGTTATACTTCTCATTATCTTTGAAAAAAAATAGAAAACAAAATGCTTGAATACCAATGTTACGACTTACGACTGTGCTGTGCACTTTATTCCTTTGATTTTACAAAGGGTGTAAAAGTTTTAAATGGAGCCAATTACTTTGATTCTAGTGTGATGTGAAAACACAACAATTAATTCTAGTTTTTTTTTTATATTTCTCTTATAATTTGAGCGCCTTTCTATATTTTGTTTACCTTTTGCATAATCTGTGTTATTTGTAAATTATGATTTCGCAATGTTGGTCAAGTTTGACAGCTTTACAAAATTGAAAGAAGCGCCATCAGGATTTTATACTAAAATAATATTTTTCTTGAGAAAGGATTTCATTTTATATTTGTAAAATACGTTGCAACTGTTAAAATATTATTTGATATTAATTGTTGAGTATTGATAATGCTAAATCGGCTGCAAAATTTACTAAATAACAATAGTTTGTGATTGACAATTTGTGTTCAACCGTGGCTATTTGTATGTAGGACGGAGAATTTTGACAACTTAAAATGGCGGCCTCTTTTGAACTTAAATATCTTTTTGATTTTTCGCGCTTTTTGGCGGTCAATGTGGAGATTTTACAGTAGTAAATTTTACAAGAAAACTTGATTTGTTAGTTTTCTAAGATGGATCACAATTTGGGTGACGATTTGAATTTGGATGGGTCTATGGGAGTAAGTACAAACATTTTGACCAATTTGTATTTTTATTAGTAAACTAAATGTGTTTATTTTGCAAAGATTAAACATTCTTAAAATGTCTGTAGGGTTTCATTGTGTATGGAAGTTATTTCTTTAAAAAAATTCTACTTTTGTTGGTTCTAATATTTTATCTTTGTATTGCATTTTAGGTGGATTTTGGGCATTCTGAAGATACAGTTGTAAGTCAGGCAGATATAGCTCTAGAAGAGAGTGCCCATGAGGCTGGAATTGCAATGGATTTTGATCACATTGAAGAACAACCCATGTTAATGGATACTGGCAGTGAAGAAATCATAGGTAGTTTTATATTCCTCTCTCAGAATTACAAAGATTTATGAAAAATTAAGTGTTCTACATTGAAAAAGGTATAAAATTTGTATAAATAAGCCCTTACAGTGGGTTAACAGTACATACTACTCTACTATTATCTCTATTGACTGTAATATTCGAATTCACTCCTTCGCACAATTGATGTATACTTTTTTTTGTCTGCCTTTACCTTTAGTAGCTAATTAATCATAATGAAATGTTTTTAGATTTCATCGGAGAACAGTTTACTCTACAAGATTATGCCGATCAAGAAGATCAGAGTAATATTATGGCAAGTATCGCTTCAAATGTATGTAGAAATTACTTGATTTAACTCATTTGTATGCTATTTCATCTATATGACTTCATTGAATGTAACATTTTTTAAATGATTATTTCTTTTTTTTTACAGGAGCAGACTATTATCACATCACAAGCAGATAACATTATTAAGATTGAGTCTTTGCCGCAACAAACAATAAAACAAGAACATACATTGAGTAAAGTAGCCACACTAAAGGTTGTTATAGATATTTAGTACAATTTTATTTATTTACATTCTATTCTAAATCAAAGAATAAAAATTCAGTAAAAATGTATGTTTCAAAGGAAAACTGCAAAAAATACTGTTAATGTAGCTTGGAGGCCTAACTTAAATCCTCTTCCCTTTGCTACTGTTTTTATATGAGGGAAGGGAAGAGGGGATATTCTCTTTCTGTATCTCTTACTCTGTTCATTAATTGTAGGCAATGCATTTGCCAATTTAATAAATGCAGTAACCTTTCCCTATTTTGACGAATGTTAGTGGCTTTTTACTTGTTTTCCTTTTACTATACAAGGTAGTATATTTTTCATGGAAACAAATATTTTATTAATTATAGTCTGAAATCTCACCGCCTCGAATAAAGAAAATTGAAACAGATATTCACACATCTGCACCTCGTCAAGTGGCCATAGCACCGAAACCTGGGCCAGTTGCCAAAGCGTTCACTCCTGTCAAACCATACGCAATAGCACCCAAACCATTAACAGTGCTTACTACCAAAAGTAATACATTAAATAATGGATTTCTAAAGAAAGTTACTCTGGCCGGTGTTATGCAAGGAAATAAAGCCAATACTGTCCTAAGTAAGTATATCTGTGTATTTTTTAAAGATTTTATTTTTTAACTTTGGAGTGTAGATTAATAGAATATGAAATATGATGATTTGACTTGACTCCTTGTCCTATGTCCCCAAAGTGGGGCAGAGGGCTTCACAGTACGCCTCCAGCTCCCTGCAATATGATACATGTTTGAAAAATATTTTTTAACTCATGTAAAAATTCCTTAATTATAAAATGAGAGCAATTACAAAACAATTATTTATAATTATGCTTAAAATGGATAAGTTCTTGTATTTAAGACTTGATTAAATAAAATTATTGTATGATTGAATAAATGTTTTTCAGCTCAAATAGGCAAACAGCTTGTAATGATGCCAGCGACAGGAGCGCAGAAGTTAAAACTGGTGTCGGGGGGCACTGCTATGCCCACGGTGCAATATTTACGAACTACTACTGGAGATCAAGTATGTATAAAACCTCTGCTTTCAATAAAATTTATTAAGTTATATTGTTTTTATAAAATGTGCTTAATTTCCAGACTCAACTGATCCAAGCAAAGACTGTTACTGGTACACAAAATAAGCCTGTCATCACTAAATTAATATTACCTGGTAGGTTATGTTACATATCTAAATTACAATAAAGCTATACATGTTTCACTGTTATATAGAGCAATTATTTTTTTTTATATGTAACTAGCTGTTCCCATGCGACTTTATCCGCATGAAATCATAAAAACATTATTTTATTGTTTACATTTGTGAAATTTTCAATTCAAATATCAACTTGCACTTTTTCCCGTTTCCCGCATAACAGTTTTTCCATATTACTTACGCTCTAAGTTAATAGCGAGAAAATGTATTGTCTAAAGCGTGTTGTAAGTGTAGGACTTTGTATTAAAAAGAATATTATTCAAAAACATACAGTGATTGCTGACATCCTACGTAACTAAGTAGTCTGTGGTTACGCTTTATTATTAGTATAGATAGATTCATTCAAGTTTTTATTATTGCATGTTCAAGGACAACCAAATCTGGAGATGAGCAGCAACGCACAGAGTCTGCTGACTAAAGTAGCGCCCGCCGCCGCTAAGCCGCCGGCGCAGATTGTTGCACTGCAACAGAAAAATATGCCTTTTACAATAGCTAATAAGGTATTTATTTGTTTAATCTTTAATTTTATATCGGCCTCTGCACAGAACATAAACTGTGATGAAACCTTTTTTTATAAATATTTACAATGTCCAAAATATATATTAAACGTAAAATTTTTAAAAACTTGATTTTATTCTCCTGCCAAATTAAGGGTTCACATAAAATGTTATTTTACAATGCAGTAACACTTGACTTACCCTTCCCTTTTGCATCCCTTTTGTATAAGGAAAGGAAGGAAAGGGAAAGTGGATTAAACAAGAGAGGGACGCACAGATACGGAAAATAATCACTTTCTGTGATTCTCACCTCACGTGATAAAAATCAAGTAATCCATCTGCAATAGCTGTTTATGGGGGGGTGGGGTTGGGTCACTTCGCTATTTAGGCGAATTCTGATCATATTTATATCAAACTTAAATAGTTGCTCTTCATTTTATTTGACATTTTATTTATGCAGACAGTATTTACACAGGTTTTACTAAATTTTTTCAGGTATTGTTAGCTACGCCGACGAAATCGGGCGTGAAATTTGCTAAAAAACAACAACTAATAGCCTTCAAATCGCCGGAAAAGGCTACGCAAGCGGCACAAGGTACTTAATACATTAATATTTTTATATAGTTTTCTTTGATTTTATATGTTACAAAACAAAAAAAAATCAAAATTCTAAAAATGTACATTTTTAAAGTTTTTTTTCTGTTGTTTTCAGGTTCAACAACAAAGAAGGTTCTCATAACATCAAATCCAACACAAAATGTTATATTGAAAACCACAGCACCTCCTAAAGCACAAGTAAGAGAAAGTAATTTAAACTTTTTACAACATTTAAACTAATATTATTTTCGTTACTAACTAAATAAAAACAAACAGTTCCCTAATGTTACCATGTTATTTATATTTTTAGGTTACAAAAGATGGCAACATTGTGTTAGACAATCAACGGACTCAACTACATCAAATCAATGTTCCTGGTAAAGGTGTAAGTTTTAATTAATGTATTTAAACCTTCTATTTGTTAATAAAGTGGTTTTTATTGATTGCAAAATAAAAATATGAAAGGTGAAATTTTCTAAAACTAACTCAAAGATTGAATTATCTTTTCTATTTAAATAATTTGAAACTTTAAACTTTAGGTTGTTGTAATAGTTGTCTTTTTGAAAGTAAATGTTTTTTACTTCTTACTAATATTATAAATGCGAATATGGACGGAGTCGCGGGCGAAAGCTAGTCAGGAATAATCTAGAAATATCCGTGAAATATTTCTTACAGATTCAATACATCAGACTTGTGACGAATTCTAACCCAGCGCCTGTCAAGACAAAGCTGCAGCCGCAAACTATAAATGTGCCTGCGAAAACTTTTCTGTTAACTGATTCAAAAGGTAAGTTGCATAATCACGCCCGTGACGCTATGGGATAGGCAAAAACTACGGCTCTCCATTTGACCCCATCCTGACGCATCTTTCATCTATCTGTAAATGTTCTAGCAATTGTCAAATTACAGCTCAATTCTTTAATGAAGTATTTACTCTCTTACTTAAACTTTACTCAATAATAACTTTCATCCACTCATGAAAACTATAAACAATATTTTCAGTAGATTTTGAATTATTGGCATAAAATAACGCAATTTAGTTTTTTTTCTTTACATGCAGTTTTGATTGTAAACGACATCAAACGAGTTTTGACTTAACAGTTAGACAATTCAGTTAATTAAATCAAATCATATGTGAGTTAAAGAAAATTAGCACTACAATTTAATTGATAGTTAAAATGTTGCCTATACAACTTAAGTAATTGTACAGTTCGATTGTTCAGTTATGACTGAAAGTGTTTAGCAGGCTTTATGGCTACGTTCTTAAAATGTGTACTTTATATTGTAAAACTTGTAGGTAATTTGATCCAGATGTCATCAGACAAAATGATGAACAGTCAGTCGCCTCTGCTCGTCGCCGGCGCTGCCTCTTCTCTTACCAAAGGTACATCAAATCCCATTAAAAACATTTAAAACGGTTTATTTCCGTTTTATGAAAATGTCATCAAAAAACAACGATAGAATTAGCTGAGTAATAAAATTGTCATGGTTTTATTTTTATTTTTGAGTTAAAATATTCACTATGCAGGTTTTACTGCAATTCAAACTGGCCACATTGAAAAACGGCAATAACGGAATTTAAAAAATATATAACTTACGCTCGTTACCGCCATCTCTGTTCATTTCTTGATATTCCAAACATTTTATTATCTCTTTTGACATTACGAAAGAATTTGATACTTTTGGAAATTGGAAAACTTTTAAACATTGACACTAAGAAAATTAAACAATTCTTTTCTCTATTTGAAAATTATAATTTAAATTCGAATATGAAAAGTCATTTGGAAACAGTGTCATTGTGTGAATTGAATTTGCGAAATTCTATAATTTTCAGTGAGCACAAAACCCCAGCGCAAGTTGGTGAGGATAGCTCCCTTAATTGATAAAAGAGTTACCACTTTAGCTGATAAACCTGCGCAAACGACCGCGGTGAGTTAACATAATTCTTATCTTTATACATTTCAAAAACTTAATTAGAGTTTTTAAATGTTTTGCTTTACTTTGAAAATAAATTTAAAGCTTTATGAAAAGTTTATTTGTCACTTTTAACTTCTCAACTTCTCGGTTCTTAGACTTTCGTATTATTAACTGAAATTATTTGGATGTTAATTGTTTTTTTTCTTTAAATTTAAAGTTAATCTATGTTTACAATAAATTTTCTTGCACGTGAACATTATTTTTCATAATATTGGCTGCAAAATTTTTCTTTAACGTTCTGTTTTTTTTTTCGTTAATTATTGATGTTGATAACTTGGAAGGAAATGATTTTTAATCTTTTTATAAACTAGTAATAACTTCAATTTGGTAAAGTATTAATATTAAAACTATATTTCATCAGATCAGAAGATCGTCACAAAGTCTTCTGGCACCAATATCTCCAGTGCCAGAAGTGTCACATATAGAAGAAACTGAAGTACAGGAGGAGATGGACTCGAAGGCTGCCCTGCACGCACTGATGAGCGAGGAGTTGGAGCAGGAGATGCAGGTCAACATCAAGGCTGAAATGCAAGTCAATCAGGCCAGTATGGATAGCAATATGGAGGATATAAAAAGTAATGTACACGATGACCTGCATTCTGAGATGAATATGGATGCAGATGATTCTAATATTGCAGAAGTTGAAGTTGACTATAAACGGGATTTTGTAAATGTAAGTATTTTTTAATTTTATGTTACTTGCCATATGTTTATGTATTTTAAAATTTTATAATAATTTCGACAATGTACTTTGTAGATGACTTAAAACATGGGCATTAACCCCCCCATGATCTAGGGATGATGATATGCCCCTCATGATATAGGGGTCTACTGAGAGTGTTTTAGTAGGTCTAATTCCACATAACCCTGCTTTCCCCCAGAGAGCAAGTTATCTTTGCAAGACTTCCTATCGACACAAAAAAGGTGTAGGGGTTCAGCTACCATTAATATAGTCTTATTTGCAGGCAGGCTATGCCTTCATAAAGTCAGTTTTTCCGTCTATGTTAAATGTTAAATATTGTCCACAGTATTCAGATTGCGATGAAGTGAATGAGAAGAGCGATCTGCAGGAGCTGGGCGCGGGAGAGGAGCACCCGCTCATCGTCATCCCCTCCAACTTCATCAAGGAGACTGACAACAGGAACATCAGCGATGTGCACTCCGCTCATGTAAGTTTATTATCTATACTTAATATAACAAAGCGTAAACACATACTATTTTGTGGAGTAGGATTTCAACAATCACCGCATATTTTTGAATAATCCTTTCTTTAAATAAAAGTCCTACACTTACTATTGTGTAAAAATGTCTTAAAATACAGAAAAAAGTCACTGAATAGGTAAATATTTATTTTGCAGGACGAGTCTCAGCAGATAAGCGGGATGCTGAGCATGGACGCGGAGTCAATTAACGCGTACCAGTCGCCCAGGACACCACAGACAACTTCCGAAAGCGGTAAATGTTACATGTGTATTTATTATTTTGATATAACTTATAGGTTTTTATACGATTTGATAAACAGCAATGAATTAATTTCCTTATTGTTGTACAAAATATAATATTTGTCGGACAAGTAATAATACTCTTCAGTACAATGTTACCAGATGGTACCAATTTGGTATGGCTAGTTTAAAAAAGAAAAAATGGACTGGAGCGTATTGATTTATTCTCCTTATTTATATATTAGCTTTCGCCGGCAACTCCGTGTGCGTAGAATTAAAAAAAAAAAACAAAATTACTAATCTAGTACTATATCTTCTTCCAGACATACATCTACAAACTTTAATGATCTATCTATCTAAACTTTCGCATTTATAATATTAGTAATATTTCTATATGTACTGTTTCAGAGTTGATGTCTACTGAGCTGGGCCTGCGCCTGCGCAAGGCGTGCAACTGCACCAAGTCTCAGTGCCTCAAGTTGTACTGCGAGTGCTTCGCCAACGGCGAGTTCTGCAACCGCTGCAACTGCAACAACTGCCACAACAACCTCGACAACGAGGAGCGCCGCCAGAAGGCCATCAGAGGATGTCTTGATAGGAACCCTAACGCTTTCAGGTAATGTTTTTATACATTACAATGTTGAGAGGCTGTAATAGGAAATTTAGTTGTTATATGGTCGTATACTAAAACTATATTTAAATATGTAATAGAGTCTCGAATGATAATATTTCAACTCCATTAAATGGTAGACTAACTTAAATCGTAAACAGCGTTCAGACAGAAATTAATTAAATTTAAATTCAATCGCAATTTTTTAAATTAATATGTTTTGTTTTAGACCAAAAATTGGCAAAGCAAAAGTCGGTGGTCCGGAAATGATTCGTCGGCACAATAAAGGATGTAATTGCAAACGGAGTGGATGTCTCAAAAACTATTGTGAATGTTATGAGGTAATTTCTTTATGTAGTGTATTTATTTAATCATATCAGCAGCATTTAAATCATAAATAACGTAATTTAAGTGAAAAATGATACATATTTTAGTTATCTCTCGTAATACTGTTATATATTTAGCAATTTAAGCAATTCATTAAATATAATCAATCCATTGTAGTTTCATAGAATGTTTAGTAATTTGATTTTATAGTAATGTAATCTTTGTGTGCTACAGGCGAAGATAGCGTGCACGTCGATATGCAAGTGCGTGGGGTGCCGCAACGTGGAGGAGACGCTGGAGCGCACGCGGCGCCGCGCGCCCGCCATGCCCAGCGCCGTGCAGGCGCTCTTCAGGCCGCCGCCCTTGATGCCGCTCAAGTACGACACATCTACTCTACATTAAAACCTCTTTTTCAAGTACAATCGAGGAATTTAGCGGTGTTCCACTTTAGGAAATTTGCCTTGTTTATTGCAACGAATCAAACTCCACCGCTTCTTACTATTAACCACTTAAATAATAGAAAATTAGCCGTGTATCACTAACTTATTTTTTCGTATAGCACATTTAAAAGTTGCGTTGTATTGGCTTATGTTTCGCGTCGTCGTTTCAAACTATTAAAGCTTTTAAGGGACACCGCCAGTTTCTTCGAATGTACCTTTTAGCTCAAGCACAACAATGTAAATTATGTCAATAATGGTATTTAACAACAGGGAGCTTTTTACGTTTCGAGTGGTGATTTTTGTTTATTTTTCTGTAGACAGCCGTGCAGCTTCATAACTACGGAGGTGGTGGAGGCGGTGTGCCAATGCCTGCTGGCGGCGGGCGGGGAGGGGGCGGGCGCGAGCGGCGGGGCGGGAGGCGCGGGGGGCGGGGACGCGGTGCGTGACGTCATCGACGAGTTCGCGCGCTGCCTTCAAGACATCATTAGCGCGGCGCACCACACCTCGCCGCTCATCATGCTAGACGAGGTAACATATAATCAGATAAATACAACAAGAATTTCTTTTATTCCATATCTTTTTGCTTTCATAGGGTCTGTCCCACCACTGGCTGATAGAGGCTCAGCCCCCTTAGACAAGGTAACATTCGATTATCGCTATCACTGATCGAAAAGTCAAAAATGTATTGAACTGACAATAACATTTGATAGATCACGTGCTTGTCACGTATTCATTCCTATACATTTTGATATGTTTTGTCGATTCTACAAGGGACATCGCTAATCGAAAGTCACTTTGTGTGGAGGGGACATAGCCTAAAAGTGACGTCACTGTCAGATAGGGTCTTAAAATCTGTTTTTTACATCACATATTTTATACATTGGATTGTTATCAATTTACAAGAATTGTGGGACAGGCCCTAAGTCTCTCGTCTAAAGTACAGTTGTTAGATTAATTTTCATGCAATTTTATCTCTGTTTACTTTGTTTCAGGAACCTGCATGATATGTGACGTTTGCTATAAGGATTTAAATGAAATATTTAGATTATGTACAGCACATGTGATAATATATAAAATTAGTTTAAAGAAATATATATTCATAAATAGGGGTACAATCGTGCAATTATGTTGTAGAAATATTTCAACATTATATCAGCATAATGACAATATTTTATTGATAAATCAATAATATATAGTGAATAGTGTAATAAGAAAAGACTGTTGAACAATAGTTGACATGAAAATCGTTTATCGGAAGTAATCTTTTAATGGAATTGAGTTTTTAAGGTGTACATATGTTAGTGAATGTATCAGATTTTATATTTGTTTGGTTTGTTTCGTTAATGAGGAGAGATATATAGTTGTACAGATATATTAAATATTTTGCTAGTCATAAGCGTGCGGCGGACTGTACATAGTAATGAAATAAATATAGCCGTTTATTTCCTTTACATTTGTTTTATTGTATACTTATAACATTTTAAAACTCACAATTATACATGTGTTAATCTATTATTTATTACTAATATTATAAAGAAGATATGTATTTTTGTATTTTTTATTTATTTAAAGTTACTGGGTGGATTTTAAAAATTCTTTCACCATTAAAAAGCTATGTTATCGGTGAGTAACATAGGCTATATTTTAATTACACGCGGACAAAGTCGTGAGTATCAGCTAGTGTGTTTACAATTTTAGAAAACGACTATAGAGGAAAAGAATGCCTAAAATACACTGGATAATGACAGATGAATTTGTGTAAAACTTGGCTACAATACATGTTTCTTGGCGGTAATATTTCAAAAGTAGGTTAAAGGTGAAAACAAACCTGCAAAACGCGAACTAAAATTAACTACCGACGCCGCGCTAAATATAATTTACACGTCTCTAGTTCATCCCTCACGTGTGTCGGTACATGCTTTAAATTAATGAAATACATCAAAATGAGTGAAAAATACGAGGTGAAAGTTTCTGAACAATTTGGAAGGTTGGTTTTTTATACTAATTCAAAGTTAATTATGTTGTAATGTTTTTTTGTTTGATGAATTATTTTAACAATTATTATTAATAAGAGAGAATCTGTTTTTATAGACTTATCCGTTATTAAATGGCTAAAGTTTCTTGCAATAAGAAAAAAAATAATTTATAGGTATATTGTAGCGGCAAAGGATTTGAGAGCAGGTGAGAGTATTCTAAGCGACAAGCCGTTTGTATTAGGACCTAGTAGTGACACATCGCTCGTTTGTTATAACTGTCATTTGCCGCTTATCAGCAAGTTTTTCGTATGCAAGCTATGCGCAGTGGCTCCTATATGCCCCGGAGACGGCTGTCCACAACAACTAACCAGTAAGTAACTAATGTAGTCAAAGGTTCAAACTACACAATATTATTAAGATAACTATGCCAGTTATTTTTTAATGTTTCTTTTGTGATGTTTTGTTTAGAATGGCACAGTGAATTTGAATGCGACTTCTTCAGATCTCTCAAGTTAACACGAAGTGTGAATCCTATGACGATGGTACAGAATGTAGGCTCTCTGTTGGTATTGAGGGCGGTCTTAAAAAAGGACGTTGATAAAACAGCTTGGCAGGACTTTCTGCAACTTGAGACACATTTGAATGAGAGAAAAGGAACAAGCGTTTGGGAGTACTGTGAAAATACTGTGAAGGTATTTACAAATTTCAGAAGGACAGAGTTATTTCGAAAGCTTTTTTATTTTTGTCGCGCATTGTGGAAACAATTATCTCTGAGTTTCTTTACAATTTAAAGACATAATAATATTGTAATTAACGTTTCAGGCAAAATGCAGATTATTTTCGAATCACAAATAGCGGTATGATTTTATACATAAGAAAAGATTTGACAAACTATCTTCTTGCTATACATACTTTAAAATCACTTTAATTTTATTACTTTTCTGCTATAGTTTTATTATTAAAACATAAAATTGACTTGAGATCATAATATTATCTATGTACTTCTCGATATTTCTATTTCTTACTAACTGTTCAAACATCTATTCATCTAAGATTTGTTTCTTCCGAATCTCTACCGCCAACCGTTATTCAGACACAGTTATCAATTCACAGTTTATTCAATCTCTGGGACTTATGGAAGGTGTTAAGGATAATAATTTAGTACAAAAGGTATGTGCAGCGGTGGATGTGAATAGTTTCGAAGTTAGAGGACCGCCGGTACCAGCGATTGGATGTTCAGAAATACTTCGCGGGGTTTTTTTGAAGGCAGCGCTAATGGCGCACGATTGTGTTGCCAACACACATATTGCCATAGATGAGAGTAATGTGTTAATCTGTCATGCAAGCACTGATATCAAAAAAGGAGAAACAATTTACTATAATTATACAGATCCCTTAAAGGTATGATTTCAATACGTTTCCTGTTGTATTGACTATTTTCCTTTCTCAAAGTATTAAAATATTATTTCTAGGGTACAGCTATACGACAACAACATTTATTGATTGGTAAATACTTTAAATGTACATGCAAAAGATGTCAAGATATGACCGAAATGGGCACTTACATGAGTTCAGCACTTTGTCCTACATGTAAAACGGGATATATCTCGGAGATTAGTGACGAAACATGGGTATGTCATGACTGCGGCGCTAAATTTGAATCCTCCGAAATTAGACATAAGGTTCAATGTTGCTCTGAGAAACTGGCTGTTATAAGTAAGTTTAGCTAGCTACATTTTTAGCCGTAGTTTTAATCTCTAACAACAGAAATAATCATTAAACAACACCATTTAAACAGATAAAAAAGATGAAAAGGAACTGGAGGAGTATATTAAAAATGTTTCGCTCTTACTGGCACCAAATCATTATCTTCTGTTAGACGCTAAACAACGGCTAGCCGGGGTACTAAGAGACGCCATCAACAACCAGCCCAGACCAACCAAGAAGATGATGAGACGGAAAATAGAATTGTGCAAAGAACTCTTGCCAGTGCTTGATAAGATAAGCTCAAAGATATGCAGGATTAAAGGTATTTTTTACATTGTATTCTTATATAGCATTAAAATATGAGAAGTATTAACTATTTTTTTTATTTAGCTATCACACTTTACGAATTACATGCTACTCTAGTACAGCTTGCTAAAAAGCTGTTTGATGGCCGAGAAATAAATGGATCCCACTATTTGGTAAGATCCATACGATTTTTAAATATATTATAAACATGTAACATGTGTAATATAAAAACGTTTTGTTTACAGGAAGAATTACAAAATGCTGAGAAATGTTTAAAGAAATCACTGGAAATGCTTTTAATCGAACCTGGAAATTCACCCGAAGGAGAATTATGTGCAAAGGCGCTCGAGGAATACAGAGCACTTAAGAAATCTATTTCGGAACTTATGTTGGGACTACACTCTGAGAGCAAAACATTTGTTACCGGGAAGAATACGGGCTCGAGTGCGACTAATGGAAATAATTAACTTTGCATATCTGTTTTCAAAATTAAAATCTAAATTCTTTAAATGTTTTATTTTCTTATTTCCCCTATTAGCCCGTGTACAGTAGATGTTAGTCATGTTTCATTTTAGTCCAGTAGAAGAAACTACAAATTCCTAATCCCTCCCATAAAGTTGCACAAAACGTAAACGTGTTACTTTTTCTGAAAAAATATTTAAAGCGAATTACTTTTCGAACCTTGCAGCACTATCAACTGCGTCAATCAGTGCTGTCAACATCACCTGCCAAAAATTATTTGTCTGTTTGTGTCAAAACGAGACAAAATATTTGAGAAGCAATGAATTTAATCTATTTTTAATTAACTAATGCATTTTCTTTATAGCATACTTCCATTATTGCGACAAACAGAAAATCTTAGAATACTCTTCTAAGGTTCAATTAATTTATTCTGTTCTGTTTGCAAATTATTTGTCATCATACCGCTAACACTTAGCATTACTTTTGGCTTGTGGAGGCAAGTAAAATGTTTATTTCCTACATGATAAAGTTAAAGAGACAACAAAAAGTAATACTTGTTACGTTTATTGGTTATTCTAATTGTACAATAATTGCATAGACATAGCGAGTAAAGTGTTTTTAGTGGTATGCTTGGGTACGCGATGGATGATAGCCGATTATTAAAAGTATCATTACTATCAATTGCATCTTAATTGTTTTTAAGTAATAAAAAATGTATATAGATAATACAAGTACATTTGGTAGTTAGATTTTGCCACCAAGACGTGTGTATTACTTAGAAATAGATGAATTAACTTTACTCTGCAGAGTAACAAATAGGAAAAAATTACTTGCAGTCCCACAATGGCAGATCAGACCTCAGTTCTCGCCCTGGTAATACTGACTGTGGGGATAACAGTACATTTTTCCTTACACAAAGTTGATGAGGGTCATCTTGGAGTTTATTACAGGGTAAGTTTGTAATGTGCTTATTTTGTACTAACTTAAGATGTTATATTTCTAATTATATACTTTTTTCTCATGTTAGGGTGGAGCATTGCTGCCAGTAACAAGTCAACCTGGATTCCATATGATGGTACCTCTTTTAACTTCTTATAAAGCTATTCAGGTATGTATTATCATATTTAGGTATATTATATTTTTTTTCTTAAAACATACTTAATATCTTTTCTTCTTACAGACCACTCTGCAAACAGATGAAGTAAAAAATGTGCCCTGTGGAACAAGTGGAGGTGTTATGATTTACTTTGAGAGAATTGAAGTTGTTAATAAATTAGAACCAAACAGTGGTGAGTATCAAATATTACATCAGAGTTTTTCTTATTGTATCTAAATAAATATTGCTATAAACCTCTTACCTATATTCATACACAAGTGTATAATAAAAATTTGGGTGAAAAGTAATACTGTTAAAAGACCTTATAATAACTGATATTTATTTGTTTCTAGTACTGGATGTGATTCGTAACTTCACCGCAGATTATGATAAGACATTAATATTCAATAAAGTACATCATGAGTTGAATCAGTTCTGCAGTGCGCACACCCTGCATGAAGTTTACATTGATCTGTTCGATCAGATTGATGAAAATTTAAGAACAGTAAGTTTTTTTAGTTAATGCCACACAAATATATAACAATCTATTCCTCATCTTACAAAATGGTATGTGCTGTTGGAGACTTGTCTTACAAGTTTTAGTAAAGTTTGTTTAAATGTTCATATTATAGGCACTTCAAAAAGATCTTAATGAAATGGCACCAGGTCTGAGAGTGCAGGCAGTGAGAGTAACAAAACCAAAGATACCAGAAGCAATTAGGAAGAATTATGAACTTATGGAATCTGAAAAGTCTAAACTTCTCATTGCTGCTCAACATCAAAAGGTAATAGTTTAAACCAAGAAAAGATCTAAATGAAGATTCAAGGTAGACTTATAGTTAAGTTTTTACCTAAGTAAGCATTTTTCTGAACTGGTATTAGTATATTTCTGTACTGGTTGAATATTTAGATTTGCATAAACACTGTAACAATTTTGCTTAGGCTAGATGCTTTATTATCTTAGCATACAAATATACACATAAAAGTTTGGATGGATGGATGTTTGTAAGATTTTACCGCCTAATCGGATGAATAGATCATGACATTGGGCATAGATGTAGAGTAGTCTACTTATAGAATACATAGGTATATAGAATACACTTGCTTTTGTTTTATTTTTCTGTTTCATGCAAAGTCGCAAGCAAAGCTAGTAATAAATTTGAAATGGATAATAAGTACAAAATATATGTTTAAAGATTACTCAAGGTATCTTATGGTTGATTTTTATTTCTCAGGTGGTGGAAAAAGAAGCAGAGACAGCTCGCAGGAAGGCCGTCATCGAAGCAGAAAAAGAGGCGCAAGTTGCGAAAATTCAATATGAACAGAAAATTATGGAAAAAGAATCTTTACAAAAAATCGAATTGATTGAAGACAACATTCACAGAGCGAAACAACAGACAAAAGCAGAGGCAGATTACTATCATCTGAAAAAACAAGCAGAAGCTAACAAACTACTGTTAACTAAAGAATATTTGGAATTACAAAGATATCAAGCACTCGCAAAGAATAATAAAATTTACTTTGGAAGTGATATTCCAAATATGTTTTTGCAAGCAAATATTGGTGAAAATATGCTCAAAAATGTTGAAGTTGAATAAACACTACATACTTTGTCAAAACAATTACTAGTCATTGAGTGAAATGTGTGTGGGACAGGTTTGTGGGGCTTTTTGTAAAGTTTTAAAAAAATCAACATTCTCAATAAATAAGCTCTTTTTGTATTTAGGTAAATATATAGTTTTTTTATACATGTTACATCAAAATGGCAATAATTATTCTTATTGAATGGTTTCAGGTTGATTGTGTATGTGAACTAGTTATGGTTATACTTTTTGATATTTTCAGACAAAAAATGTTCATAGTAATGGATTTAAGTAAATGTTTTTTTCTTAAAAAGGAATGTTTATTGGGATTTTCTATGCAGTATATTAAATAAAATTCATAAATACAGAAATGTGATTTTATTGAGTGGAAATCTTATAGTTAGAATGGCATTTAAATCTTATTGAAAGCGGCAATGTCAACTGACTGAACAAAGTCTTCAAATTCTTGGATTTTCTCAGTCAATAGGTCCACAGATACTTTGTCATCTTCTATAACACACATGATCTGCAGTTTGTTGATACCATAGCCAACGGGCACCAGTTTAGAAGCACCCCAGAGAAGACCATCCATTTCAATGGTACGGACTTGGTTTTCCATTTCCTTCATGTCTGTCTCATCATCCCAAGGTTTCACATCAAGAATAATGGATGACTTAGCAATAAGGGCCGGTTTCTTGGACTTCTTGTCAGCATAAGCCTTCAAACGTTCCTCACGGACTCTTGCTGCTTCCGCATCCTAAAATAATAATTATTTTAAGTATTCTGGGATATTTATGTGTTAACTGTGTAAATAAATATTTTTTTAATATTAGAATTTGAAACAAACCTCTTCCTCATCTCCAGATCCGAAAAGATCGACGTCATCGTCGTCGTCTTCCTTGCTTGCTGCGGGTGGTGCAGTGGTGGTGGTGGCGCCGGCTTTCAATGGGCTGACACCCGCAGCAAAAGTCTGTCGCTCAGCTGCGGAGTATGATGAGATGTGATTGTACCAGCGCAGTACGTGCGGTAGGCTGGCGGCCGGCGCTTTGCCTACTTCATTAAATACTTGCACATCGGCTTGAGTTGGAGTGTATCTAAAAAAAATCATTTAACATTATGATAATCTTAAATGATTACATCGATAAAATAGTCACTGCTAAAAATAGAGGTTATAATTTTGAGGTTGACGTGTAAGAATATTTAATGCTATAAAAATGTCTTTGTAAATATTTACCCGGATATGTAACTTTTATCGGCCAAGAATGTATTCAATTCATTTAAGCCTTGGTTCGTTTTAACATCTCCGAATGCCATTTTTTTAATTTATAAAAGAAGCACAAGTGCCACACGAACAGCCGGTCAGTAAAAGAGAGGGAGGGGGAGGAGAGGTGAATATAGATAACGAAAAAAGTGTCAAAATCATCAACAACCACAGAAATAGAAGAACTTTGTTGAGTAGCAAAAATAAAAAAATCCGTTTCAGTTTATCATGTATATCTTTTTAAAACTTATATTTTCACTCATAATGTATTAAAAAGAGGCTGTCCTTCGTAGTTTGTTTAGGAGAAAAGTGTTTAATTTTAACCTTTAACAAAGAGAAACAACATACAGCAAAATTTATGGACTTGAGGTTAGTGTCAAACCATTTAAAAGTCAATATGTGGATGACATTGACAGTTTTCTCAGCTGTCATTAAATTTTGTTAAAATCAGTAAAGCATACATAGGTACTTTTTCTAATTCATTTTATTGCGCAAATACGCCAAAAATCACTTTAATACATGAAATAGCTTTTTTTCACATTGTAATTTAATTGGTACTGAGTGTGATATATTGTTTTTAATTAAGGTTAGGTGTTGCTACTTATGTAACAATAACATAACATTTTCTCCTATATTCATATTTTAGTGCCACAAAAAGGGTCTTAATGCTATTTGACCTACATTAGTACTTAACTTAATAGTTATTATTGTATAAAAGCAAATGAGATTTTAACGACATCACGAAAATATCGCTTAAATTCATTGTAAAAGTTTTGTTTATGATTGGTGCTGCAGAGGATGCTGCGCCAGCCGCTAACCAGGGCGCTTGCGCTGAGCTCTCCATCCCGCGCCGCACCGCTGGCCGTCCGGCGCTACGCCGAGGTTGTGCCACAGCCTGATAAAGTAGAGGTCTTCATAGATGACAAGCCTGTGTATGTACCACCTGGCACTACAGTATTGCAGGTAATTATGTTACAAAACTGAATGTAAGTCTTATTTGAACTGTTAGACATGTAAGGGTTTATTTTGCTTTTGTTCTGATTTTTGTATCTATTTTGTGCACATAGAAAACTAACAACTTTACTTTGTTTTTTTTTTTACATACATTTGAAGAAATTATATGTAATTATACAAATGTCTTTGCAGAAATACATTTTGCCTACAATATTTTTAATAAAAAATCAATTTATCAAGGTACAAATGTTTTTATTAGGCTGCGGCCCAAGTTGGTGTTGAAATACCGAGGTTCTGCTACCATGAGAGGCTGGCTGTTGCTGGTAACTGCAGGATGTGCCTTGTGGAGGTTGAAAAGTCACCAAAGCCAGTAGCAGCATGCGCTATGCCAGTTATGAAGGGAATGAGAGTGAAGACCAACTCGGATCTGACAAGGAAAGCCAGAGAAGGTGTGATGGAGTTCCTGCTGGTGAACCATCCTTTGGATTGTCCGATTTGTGATCAAGGTGGAGAGTGTGACTTGCAAGATCAATCTATGGCATTTGGTTCTGATAAGAGCCGATTTACTGATATACATTTCTCTGGAAAACGGTAATTTTTTTTTTGTTTTTATTATTTTCATTGTTTTATAAGATTTAAACAAAGTATAAAGAGTACTACATTGGACTAATATTATAAATATAAAAGTTTAGATGGATGTTTTTAGACTGTACTATCTAAATGGTTGAATGGATCTTGGTGAAACTTGGCATAGATATAGAGCAAATTCTGAAAAAAAAAACATAGGCTGCTACTTTTACATAAATAATGTATTTGTAAAGGTTGTAGTTTTCCGTTTTTGCATCTTAACTATTTTATAAATATGTATTAAAAAATTATTACAGGGCTGTTGAGGATAAAGATGTTGGTCCTCTGATCAAGACTATTATGACGCGTTGCATCCACTGCACGCGGTGCATTCGTTTCGCATCTGAAGTGGCCGGTGTTGATGACCTCGGCACCACTGGTAGAGGTACTGATATGCAGGTCAGTATTTAATTGACAATATATTAAAGAAAAATGATAAATTAACATTTAAATACACATAGGGCCTGTTTTACCAAGTTGTAACTTGTTTGATAACAATTCAACGAAATATCGGATTTTGTCCCGATATCTGACAGTGACGTTATTTTTAATCCATCTGAGCCTCTATCAGCCAGTGGGACAGGCCCTTAACAAATTGTAATCTGTATTTTAATCTGATCTTCAAAATTGCTTGTTAATTTCAGTAGATTTTGTTGTATAATTTTTATACACAAAAACAAAAGGATTATTGATTTTACAATACTATGTCCCGGGTTCATAAATTAAAACCAAAAGTAATTTATTAATAGAAATAATTTATTTTAAAATGTTTCATTTAAGGTTGGAACATATGTGGAGAAAATGTTTCTATCTGAGTTATCGGGCAATATAATTGACTTATGCCCCGTCGGCGCTCTCACATCGAAGCCTTACAGTTTCGTTGCTCGACCCTGGGAAACTAGGAGGGTAAGAATATCTTTTAAACATAAAATATAATTTTTATAACAATCACTTTGATTATGTTAAAATTTGTTAATTTCTATTTTGTAGATTGATTCCGTCGATGTTTTAGACCCTTTGGGCAGTAACATCGTAGTTACAACGAGGACAAACGAGGTTTTACGTATTCTCCCTAGGACTAACGAGGTTCGTTATTATTTATATATGAATTACAAGCTGTCACCCGCGATTTTATAAGCATGGATTATAAACAAACTTAAATAGTAGCCTATCCATAAGATTTATACATTTAAAATGTGAAATTTAAAATGTTTTTTGTCTTGTCTGGTAATTCAAGTGAAAATTATCTCATACAAAATGAATTTAGCTGAAATATTTGATAGGAAATCGATAAAACACTAGTTTTTGCACGCGACTTCATCCGCGTGGAATAAAGAAAGTAATAAGCTTATGTGTTCTCCCAGATAGATCAATGCTTAATTTTCTATTGATCCGTTCAGCATTTTACAAACTTTAACATCAATCTATCTAAACTCGCATTTATAATATCAGTCCGATTATTGTACTACTATACAGGAGATAAACGAAGAATGGTTATCAGACAAATCTCGTTTCGCGTGTGACGGTCTGAAGCGGCAGCGGCTGGTGACGCCGCTGATGACGGACAGCCGCGGCAACCTCACTCCTGTCGAGTGGGAAGACGCCATCGTGGCCGCCGCGCGCGCGCTCAGAGACTGCCCGCCTGATAAGGTAACACCTTACACTGAGGGCCAGTCCCACCACTGACTGATAGAGGCTCAGATAGCTTAAAAGTTACATCATTGTCAGATAAGGGAACAAAATCCGATGTTTTCATCACATGTTGGATTGTAATCAGACTATTTACAATTTGGTAGAACAGGCCCTAAAGTTACGGACCAAATTCTTGACTGATTTAACTGATATGATAGTTGGGTTATCTTTACGTTTTAAGACCCACTCAATATTTTAGGTTCTTTTTAGACGAGAATGACAGAGAGAAGATAGAGGATAGAGAAAAAGATAGATATAGAAGGGGGAGAGAGGGAGAGAGAGAGATATAGACAGCTAGAGAGAAACGGAGAAAGAGGGAGTTATTTGTTAAAGCATTTCATAAAAGAATAATCAATATCTATTCATCTCCCAATATTGTTTGTGTATAGCTTGTAGCAGTGGGAGGCGACATGGCGGACGCGGAGTCGCTGGTGGCGCTGAAGGACCTGGTGAACCGGCTGGGCTCGGAGCTGGTCTGCACCGAGCAGTACTTCCCGCTGGAGGGCTCCGGCATCGACCTGCGTTCCACCTACCTCCTGAACACCGGCATTGCTAGTATGTATACATTCACTGACTTATTTTATACTTTGAGACTGTTCCTTGTTGAAATAAATTTAAATAACTAGATAATAGAGATGTTAGAGAGAGGGAGAGATAATCTGTATTATGAATTGTTGTTCTTTTTATACATGTATGTTCTAAACCGAATGTAACGTCTATATGTGTCTATGTTAGTACAAAAAATATTATTACTGTTCTGAGGAAAATGCAAAGCACTTTACTTTGATCATGTAGCATCTTGGTCAAACGCTAGCTAACATACAAAACAAAAAAAAATCTTATTGTACATATTTGCAGTGGAAACCTACCATTATAAATTTATGGTCGAAATCAATGGAAATGAAAATTTATAACAAATCTTTCTATACAATTTTAGCTTTTTAACACTTGTTTATTGTCAACTATTTTATTTGGCCGTAGCAATATTGTGAATGTTTTAAAATATGTACTAGATGTGGAGGAAGCCGATTTCGTGCTTTTAATCGGCACCAACGTGCGGCTGGAGGCGCCGCTCCTCAACACTCGCATACGCAAGGCCTTCATGCACAAGGAGACCGACGTCGCGCTGCTCGGCCCGCAAGTTGACCTCACCTACGATTACATGGTAAATGGTGAAAAATTTACCGTTTTAGGAAATACTAGCTGCCACCCGCGACCCCTTCCGTGTGGAAAGTAAAAAAAACAAAAGTGAATAATTTAGGTGTTTTTTTACACTATTTTCTACTTTTTCTACTAAATTTTACCGAGATTCTTTTAGGATGCACCTTCTAACTTATATTCATCCATCCATCCATCTAAATTTTCGCATTTATAATTTTAGTAAATATTTAGCAAGCAAATACTTTCTGTTCATTTCTGATGTTGTTATTATTGTACTTGCTTTTGGACCTGATTTTGTTTGCGGAGAGTTAAAACGTAACTTATATTCACAATATTGTTGTCAAACTTTACAGAGATCCATTAATCCATTCTGGAGATACCTTCTCACAAACATCCATCCATTTAAAGTATTGCAAGGAATAATTAAGACTTTTCCTCGTGTTCTAGCACGTGGGCGACTCAGCGTCCATATTAAAAGATCTGGCGTCGGGCAGCAGCTCGCACGCGGTGCAGCGCAAGCTGGAGGAAGCGAAGCGGCCGGGGGTCATCCTCGGCGCTGACCAGCTGAAGACGGCGGAGGGCGCGGCGCTGCTGGCGCACACGCAGGAGCTGGCGCTGCGCCTGCAGGACAAACTGCAGGATAAGGAATGGAAGGTAAAATTCTTAAAATCGATGGTAACAAGAATTTCATAGAATTCAGAATGTACTTTAACAACAGTGTTTAGTTGTCGCTTGTTGAACATATATTTATAAAAAAAGTATGGTTGTTAGTTGTTGAACATATATTTACAACCGAGATTAGTTGATAATTGTTGAACATACATTTACAACAATGTTTGGTTGTTAATTGTTGAACATACATTTACAACAGTTTGGTTGTTAGGTGTTGAACTTACATTTATAACAGAGTGGTTGTCACATATTGAACAGACATTTATAACAGAATTTGGTTTTTAGGTGTTGAACATACATTTATAACGATGATTGGTTGTAACTGTTGAACATACATTTATAACCGTGTTTGGTTGTTAGGTGTTGAACGTGCTGCAGCGCACGGCGTCGCAGGTGGCAGCTCTCGACATCGGCTACAAGC